AACTGTAGGGGAGAGTGTCCTTGCTCAATTGAGTATGTTGGAGGGGTGGGAGGAGTCTGGTATTATATATACCAGGGTGTGCTATGGTTCAATGTTAGTGAGTTTTTTCTACTAATTTACTATCCATAAGAAATTCCCATTTTTCTGTGGAGACAGATGGTGTTCTGCCATTCAGAATCTATTAGAATGAAGTCTAAGAGCTGAAGCCATAATTAAGCTCATGGTATTTGGTGATTCCAAATTGGTCCCATTTAGAGTCCAGACTTAGAAGTCATGACATACCATAAATAGAAACTTAATTCCCAAGTGGCCCACAATCATTGGTAAAATTATTCTCCCCACTTCTTAATTGTGAGATCTATTATACCTACAGAAGATGATAAAAATTATGAAAAATTATGTGTGTAGTTTAAAGAATAAAACCAAAACAGTTATCTGTGACTTCACAACCAGGCTAAGAAATAGAACATTAATTCCTTAGAATTCCCTGTGTATCTGTCCCTCACTGATAGCATCCCCTTTCTTCTCCCAAAAAGAATTGTGACTCTAGTGTAATGTTCCTTTGCTTTTCTGTATAGCGTGGCAAACTTTGTAGATATTGCTAAAAAACATATTGATAAGTTTTACCTGTGTTTGAACTTTAAATTTTTTAAAAACATGCTCTGTGTTTTTGGCTGTGACTTTTTTGTTGGCCAACACTATTTTGAGAGTCATCCACGTTGATGAGTATATCAGTACTTTGTTCATTTTTATGGTCGTTAGTGTTCTATTCAGTGAATAAACAGTTTATCCTTCTGTTGATAGAAATTAATTCCCAGTTTTCTCAGGTTTTAATTTTTCAGTTATAAGCAGGACTGTCAATGCATATCTTATACATGTCTCATACATGAAGAGTTTTTCTATGTACCTAGGAATGGAATGATGAAACATGTTATTTCAATGTGTTCAGCTGTCTTAGGTAATGCAAAAATGGCTTCCAAGTTAGTTGTAGCGATTTACATTCCTGCCAGCAGAGCATGAGTGTTCCCATTCCTCCCCATCCTTACCTACACTTGGCATCATCACACTTTTTGATTGTAACCATCAGACGGGTATGTAGTAGTACATCACTATAGTTCACTTTCAATTTTCCTAATTTAGTAGTGAGATTGGCTGTCTTTTCATTTGTGTATTGACAGTTGGAACTTTTTTTTTCTTTTCTTTTTTTCATTATATTAGTTACAGGTGTACAAAACAACATATCGCACTTCTTTTTTTTTTAGAAGTGCTCGTGAAAGCCTTTTATCCAGTTTTCTGTTGGATTGCTGATCTTTTTCTTAGTGGTGCAAAGGCTTCTTTATCCAGTCTAGCTATTAGCCCTTTGTTGTTTATATGTGTAACAAATATCTTCTTGTGTCTTATGGTTTCATTCTCATTATGGTGCCTTTTGATCAACATTCATTTTATTTTAAGGAGGTTGTATTGGTCAGTCTTTTCTTTTATTGCTTTTACTTTTTATGTTTTGGGAAACTCTCTACACCAATAACAAAGATATTCTCTCTCCTTTAGAGTCTTCACTATTACATTTTTGCCTTTTACATTTAGGCCTTCAATCCAACTGGATCTGGCCCAAGACTGTTTACTTAAAAAGCTGGTTTATCAACATTGATCTGAAATTTCACCTCTGACATTTAGCAGATGTCCATATATGCATGTCTGGGCTCTGTATTTCTTTTCCTTTAGCCTGTCTATCCCCTGCTTATTATCCACTAATACCATACTGTCTTAACTACTACAGTTTTATAATGTATTGATATCTGATAAGGCAAGTCCTCCCACATTTTCCTTAGCTATTTATGACCCATTGTACTTCTATATGCATTTTATATTCAGCTTGTGAAGTTCCACCAAAAAAAAAAAATGAGTACTCATTTTGAGAGGAATTGTACATCTATTTTAGGAGAATTGACATCTTTATGATATTGAGGCCTTCAGCCCATAAGCATGGCATATCTTTCCATGTACTGTATTTGGATCTTTTTAAATGTTTTAAATAATTTTTTATAACTTTCTTCATAAAGATCTTTTAGATCTTATACATTTTTATTATATTTATTCTTTAGGTACTTTATATTTTTTGAGATTATTATAAATTGTGTCTTTTTAAATGTCATATTTTTACTGTTTATTATTAGTGAATAGAAAGGTAGTGATTTTTATATATTGATTTTACATACAGCCAACTTCTATACTCTCTAATTTTAATAATTTATCTGTTGATTATTTGAGGTTTTATATATGTTCAATCATATCATTTCCCAGTAATAACAAAAAAATTATTTTCTTCCTTTCCAATTTTTATACCTCATATTTCTTTTTCTTGCCTTACTCCACTAGCAGGTCTTCTAATATAATGTTGAAAAGGGGTAGTGATAAAAGGTGTTCTTGTTTGTGATTGCAAAGAGAATGCTTTCAATATTTCTTCATTAATATTGAGATATTAACATTATTCAGATAATTATATTTTTCCATTAATCTATTATTGTGGTAAATTAAATTGATTTACTAATATTAAACTAGACTTGCATGCCTTGGATAAAACTATCTTGGTCATGATGGGTTATACTTTTTATTCATTTATGAATTTTGTGTGCTAATATTTTAAGACTTCAGTGTCTTTGTTCATGAATGAGATAGGTCTATAGTTTTTCTTTATTGTGCTGCCATTACCAGGTTTTAATATCAAAATTATAAGCCTCATAAAAAAAGAGTTGGGGCCAAGATATTCCCTACTTTTTCTATATGTTGGAATAGTGTGTGTAAGGACAATGTAAGAATATTCAGGGTTTTATTTTTGCCTCAGTTTTTGTTAGTTAAAATTCCCTAGGAATGTTTTTATTATTTAAAAATATTTAGAATAATGTTGTTCATGAGATTTTATTATCTTTTAAATCTCTAGAGCATATAAAATTATAACCCCATGTCCATTCCTGTTTTTATTCATTTATGCTTCTTTTCTATTAAAACATCTTGCCATAGGGTTATTAGAGTTTCCAATCTTTGGAAGAACGTATGTTTAGCTTTTTTCTTCTGCCCTTGTTTGCATTCTGTTTCTTTATTTCTAGTATTATTTTAATGATTTCCTTGGATGTATTCTACTCATCTGTTTCTGATTTCTTTTTCTTTTTTCTTTTTTTTTTAAGATTTTTTAAATTGGGGAATTGGGGGATGGGAACAGCACTGGGGAACTGGGGGAAGGGGAACAGACAAGTTGCTGTCGTTTTGTTCTTCAGTCTAGTTGTGGAGGACATCACTTCACTGGCCCAAGTTGGCAACGTCATTGCTCTCTTCCCGGGCAAGGCAGATCAGTTACCGGCTTCTGGACAGCCGCTCACTGCGGCTGCTGGCCGCTCACACTGGCTGCTGGCTACATATGGTAGCCCATGGCAACCCACTGCCACAGGGGCTGCAGCCTATGCCATAGCCAGTGACTCAAGGCAGCCCAGCTCCAGGTTGAGCTGTTGTTCAGCATCTTTTCTGTGGAGGGCAGTGTCACTGGCCCTCATATGTGGGATCCGAACCAGGGCCCTTTGGCATCCCAAGCCAGCTCTTAACCAACGCGCCACTCGGCCGGTCCTGTTTCTGATTTCTTAAATTATTAGCTCATTAGATTTCAATCCCTTTTTAAAAACACCTAGTATTAACAGTTCCCTCTCAGTAATGCTTTTACTTTCTCCACACATTTTCATGTATAATATTTTTATTATTTAGTTCCAAATATTTTATAATTTTGCATTTGAATTCTTCCTTGTCTGTGAGTTATTTGTGTATTCCTTAATTTCCAAAGATATAGGGATTTTTCTGGTTATCTTTTTATTACAGGTGTCTCATGATTAGACTGTAGTCAGAAAATGTTTTATATATGATATCAGTCTTTTGAAATTTTTGAGATTTACTTGTGTTTTGGTCGAGTATATTGTCAGTTTTTACAAATGTTTGATGGGTACCCACTGCAAATCAACACTAGGTTTTGAAGTTGTTAAGTATCATGATCTCTATATGTTTATTATATCAAGCTTTTCCATTGTGTGGATCAAATCTTCTGTATCATTTCTGAATGCTCAGTATATCAGTTACCGGTACAGAAGTGTTAAAAATCCCCCACTATTGTAGATTTATTGCGTTCTCTTGTAAATATTGCTATGTTTTCTCTATGTTATAAGGTACAAATGAGTTTAAATTTGTTGTGTATAAATTAATATGAGAAGGAGGCTCATATTTGGACTACAGATAATTTTTAGTTTGATGCTGGTTTTTATGTTTTAGAAAGCATGTAATAAACCACACTTTCGACAAAAAGGATTCTACTATCATATTTATCCATTAAGGTTATAAGAAGATCATGGGACATGAATATTTTAAGTCATTTCTGGGATGATACTAAAAGAAATAACCAGTAGATAAAAAGCTTTATTTACCACAATACATATTTGTGGTGGTGAAAAAATAAAAACACATACATTCTAACAATAGGAGAATGGTTAAGTAGCTATGACATCTACATGATGGTATATTATGCAGCCATTAGAATAATTTATAAAGAATTTGTAATAACACTAAAGTTATCACAACGATACATAAACAAAGCAGAATATACATTGTGATTTCAATTACTTTAATGACAACTAAAGAAAAAAATTCTGAAAGGAAATGTCTGTAAACAGTATCGTTGGTTGGTGAAATTTGGTTTTCTCCCTTTCTACTTTTTTGTTTTCCATATTTTCTACAATATTCAATTTTATTTTATTTTTTTAACAATTTGATGGGGAAAGTAAACTTAAAATATGGACTAACAAATACATTTCCAATATTTGAGTGTACAAAATTAGTCTTTCATGTTATTTAGTTGATATTTTTAAAATATCAAGAGAGAAAAACCATTTAAAGTGTGTCATAAGGATATGTATAAAGTAAAACTTAAAGCCCAATAAGACATCTATTTTACACATTATCTCTCACAGGTAAAGTGTTGCTAGAAGACAACCAGTGCATTGCTTCCATGGTTTCCAATTATATGAGCCCGTGGACAAAACCAACAACTGCCCTCGGATCCTTCAGCCCACATGTGACAGAATTTCCAAGAAAACGAAAAGGAAGTGATTCGGATCCATCCCAGTAAGTGAATTTGTGAATTTGTTCCTCTAACCCCATGAAATCTTTAGAGAAAAAAGGAAAACTATTACTTTTTAAAATCATTAATTTTTAAAAATTACATGGTAACATTCAGATAGGAGCAGTTATGTATCCACCCAGCTGCAACCTCTGTCACTGACGGACCTGGAACTTTTCAGTCCAACTCTGAAGGTTATTGAGTCTGAAAGACTTAGGAACAGTAAGGTTGATTTGCTTAATGTGTATGGTCACAGCAAGAGATTTGTCTTCCTAATTAAGATACTTAAGCTTGTGGAGAACATCTGCCTGCATGTTTGGCTTAAAATAATCATTACCACTTTGCTTTTTGCCTTACTCATCATTTATTTAATAACCAACCCTTGGTTATCTGTGGTCATGTAACCATATTTATTGCTTTCCATATTTATTAAGCCAAGTAGATAATTAAGTCAATGTTGAGAATACTTACTATCTCCTTGTTTATTTTTGTTGCCTAATGAAGTTTGCAGCCCCAAATATTTTTTAATGACTTCCCCAAAGCTAACGTTTATATGGTGAAAATAGTAGGACAAAATCAATATAACAATCTAGAGCAATTCATGTTAGGCTGGTGCTTTACATAAATGTGAAAGTTGATGATATTTCCTTCATCCTGACTGAAGGAAAAAAATCTGAGTAGGGGGACAAGATGAGGACATAATGAAACATCCTGGCTCTTTTTAACTCAGTTTTTCCCAATACGCTTTATAATTTGGCTTCAATTTGCAAGACAGCAGAATTAGTGTTTATTTAAACGTAAGTACCAGTGAGCTTCCCAAGCCACATATAAATGACTTGAATATTATCTACTGTTTTTGGTTGTCTGTATTCTCTTAGTCTCCATTAATGCAAATAATCATAAATAACTGCAAATGACCAAGTGACAGCCTATCTAATACTGTTTGACGTCTTAATCCTAAATGAACAGTTGGTAATACCACCTTACCTCAAGCTAGAAGTAGCTGTTAGTCCTTTTTCTTTTCTTCCTTTTTCTTTAGAATCATAAGCACCATTGCCCATTCTTAGTATCTAAATAATATTATGGCTGTTGAAGTGAGAGCAGGGAGTGCTAGAGGTAAGATAATGCTATGCCATGTAGGAGGCACAGTTGAGACTTTACAGTGGCTTGGGGAATATATGGGGTCAGTGGTAGGACAAATAGAACCATGCAAAGAAAGTATTGACAGATAATGATTTTTTGGCAGAAGACAACCCTAAAGATTATTTAGCAATTGCTCACATTTTAGAAAATGAAGAAGCTAGGACTCAGAAATACCAAACGACTTGTGTATTATCGAACGTTACACAACTAGCTAGACTGCCTGACTGTTAGTGTGGCAGTTTCTTAATTACACCCTGCTTCCTGTCTCTCTCTAACTGGACAAGGTGTGTGTGTGTGGGTACTTCTAGCCTTGAGGACAATTATGCTGTCCATTTCCTAGCATGTCTGGGTAGGGGTGACCCCAAGGCCGCCTCCTTTCCAGATCAGGTGTAATGACAGAAAAAGTGGTGGAATAGCTTTCTCAGAATCCCTTTACCTATCTCCTTTCAACACGGATAGAAATATCAGCATCCAGTGGCAGCAGGTAAGTCCTGTACTGTTATTTAACATAATTCCTTCGTGGAGAGGGCATATTGTGGCAGAAAAAAGAGTGTCCTTCCTACTGATTGGCTCAGTGTCTATCCCAGAGCTTTTCCTAGTCCTCCTCTCATCCCACCATTTTACATTCTGATGAAATGATGGATGTCAAAGTACTTCATGGATTTTACAAAGTAGTGATTATACAGCAGACTCAGAGACTCAGGGCAGGAAAGTCAGTTAATAAACATAAAGTGATTTCATTGATGGAGCCTCAGAGTGTTGCATATTTATAAACAAAGAATAACCTATGAGAATGTTCGCCCTTTCTTCAGCACTATGGATTTTGAATGGAGAGCTGGTTCTGTTTTTTGTGTTTTTTTTTTTTAAGATTTTATTGGGGAATTGGGGAAGGGTAACAACCAAGTTGTTATTCTTCAGTCTTAGTTGTGGAGGGCTCAGCTAGCTCAGCTCCAAGTCCATTCGCCACCCGGGTGCCCATTGGCAGCTTGGGGCCGCTCAGCTCAAGGTGCCGTGTTCAATCTTAGTTGCGGGTGGGCGTAGCCCACCATCCCATGCAGGAGTTGAACGAGAAACCTTGTTGTTAGGAGCACGTGCTCTCACCAGCTGAGTCATCTTGCCATCTGTTGGCAGCTTAGTGGGAGCTCAGCTCGGGCGCAGCTCAATTGGCCCATGTGGGAATCGAACCAGCGACTCTGTTGCTCAGAGCTTGCGCTCTTAACCAGCTGAGCCACTTGGCCAGCCCCAAGAGCTGGTTCTTTAAAAGGGTTATTGATGAGGATTCCATGGAATGTAGTCATTACACATTTATTGAGTACCTACTATGTGATACTCAGTAGACTAGGAGGGAGAGATACAGATAAGACACAAGAAACCTGTACAAATGGGAATGATGCAAATATTACACATCACGATAACTGCTGTAATAGAGATCCTAGGTATGATAGCCATAAAGAAATTTGGGAATTTAAATAATATTGGGATCAGGAGTGAAGAACAGGTTCCTGGAGATGTTGACTCAAGCTGAGTTTTAAATGAATAATGGAAATGAGCCATTCAGAGCAGGAGTAGCGAAAATATTGTAGGTAAATGGAATTAGCTGTGCAGAAGCACAAGGTATGAAATATTACTCTACTGATATGGAAACAAGTGGTTGTCCCATTAGAGCAGCGGGTGCACATAGAGGTGGGTGAGCTATGAAACCTGAGGGATAAACATGGACTAGGTCATGAAGGTCTCCTGAACTAAAGAATCTGAAAATTATCTTGAATGTGATAAGGAAAATGGAAGGATTTTAAGCATGAGAAGAACTTGATCAGGTTACATTTTTAAAGCTTGCTTGCCGGTATACTTTTTAAAAACGTTTTTTATTGTCAAATATATAACATGAAATTTGCCATTTTAATCATTTTTTAATATACAATTCAGTGGCATTAGGTACACTCAATGTTGTTTAACTATCACCACTCTATTTCTAAAACTTTTTCATCACCTCAATCAAAAACGCAATACCCGTTAAACAGTAATTCTTCCCTTTCCCCCGCCCCTGGTAAACTGTACCATACTTTCTAGATATTTCATATAAGTGGAATTGTACAATACTTGTCCTTTTGGCTTATTTCTCTTAGCATAATGTTTTCAAATTTCACCTATATTGTAGCATGTACCAGAATTTCATTCATTTTTTGTGGCTGAATAATAATATCCCATTGTATTTATATACCACATTTTGTTTATCCATTTATCTATTGATGGGCATTTGGGTCGCTCTCACCTTTAGGCTATTGTGAATAATGCTGCTAGGCACATTGGCGTACAAGCATCTGAGGACCTGCTTTCAATTCTTTTGGGTATAAACCTGGGAGTAGAATTGCTGGATCATATGGTAATTCTCTGTTTAGTTTTTGAGGAACCACCAAACTCTTTTCCACAGTGGCTGCTCCATTTTACATTCCCACCGGCAATGTGCGAGGGATCCAACTTCTCCACATTCTTGCTGAAATTGTAACTTTCCATTAAAAAAACTGATAGCTGGGGCCAGCCGAGTGGCACGTTGGTTGGGAGCTGGCTTGGGACGCCAGAGGGCCCCGGTTCAGATCCCACATATGAGGGCCAGTGACACTGCCCTCTACAGCTAAGATGCTGAACAACAGCTCAACCTGGAGCTGGGCTGCCGTGAGTCGCCGGCGACGGCGTAGGCTGCAGCCTCTGCTGCAGTGGGTTGCCATGGGCTACCGTGTGTAGCCAGCAGCCAGCGTGAGCGGCCAGCAGCTGCAGTGAGCGGCCATCCAGAAGCCGGTGACTGATCTGCCTCGCAGGGGAAGAGCACAATGATGGTGCCAACTTGGGCCAGTGAAGCAACGTCCTCCACAACTAGACTAAAGAACAAAAGGACAGCAACTTGTCTGTTCCCCTTCCCCAAATTCCCCAATAAAAATCTTAAAAAAAAAAGAAATGGTAAGAGTAGAAAAAATACACTGATATAATCATTCAAATACCTATTATGTACAGTGGTCCCCCCCATCTGCAGTTTTACTTTCTGCCATCCAAATATATTAAATGGAAAATTCCAGAAATAAACAATTCATAAGCTTTAAATTGCACACCCTTGTGAAGAGCATAATGAAATCTGACACAGTTCTGCTCCATCTCACCCAGGATGTGAATCGTGCCTTTGTCCAGGATATCCATGCTGTGTGCCACTCACCCTTAGACACTTAGTAGCACCATCCTCCACAACTAGACTAAAGAACAAAAGGACAGCAACTTGTCTGTTCCCCTTCCCCCAATTCCCCAGCGCTGTTCCCATCCCCCAATTCCCCAATAAAAATCTTTAAAAAAAAAAACAAAAAATCAAAAACTGAGAGCTGTCCTAGCAGATGTAGGTTGGTACAGATTTACATTTTCTTTTTTTTTTTATTGTTAGTTTCAGGTGTACAGAACAATGTAATAGTTATCCTTTTCACCCTTCGCACAGAAACAACCCCTCTCCCCCATCTACTGCCCTCCCATCCCCGATATCATACTTATCTGTTACAATTCCATTGACTCCATTCCCACACTCTACTCCATGTCTCATGACTATATGTATACATAATTATAGTTGACATACTTTATTATTCTACATCAGCTTCAGAAATACAGTCTGGTGGTCAGGCCTCTATACTGACTATGAAGTGGTCTCCCTAACAAGACGTGTCCATCTGGCCCCCTAAAAAATATTTACATTTTCAAATGATCACTCTGGAAACAGCATGGAGGATGGACTGAAGGAGGAAAACCCAGCAGGCAGAGAGAACAGGTGTGCGAGTCTTCCACTAGGGACTAAGTTTTTTCTGAACCTTGGACTAAGAGTGTGGCCCTG